ATTATTGTGCTGGTTTAGCCACAAGCTCTTCTTCCCCCCAACCCCAACATATGACTTGTAATTAATGGGGTCAGAAATTTGAAGATTAGACACTGGCACGGGGGGGAGGCACTGGTAGTCAGTTGGAAGGAACCAGTGAAACTGGCATGTGAAACTCAACAGGCTATTGACAATTTCCAGTCAGTTGTTAGCCCTGGCCAATCAATTGGCACTTGGACACTTATGAGTAGTCGTGCTGCTTTTGGCCATCAAAATTGTGTGATATTTATGCTTTTGCTTCCCTTTCCTTAACTCCCTATTTCGGCACTTGCATGCCCTGTCCGTGCTCATCTTTCTCTTAAAATGACCCAATTAATACTGAACACTGTATATATAAATTAGTATTGCATCATTCTCCAGTGTCACTGCACCAACAAGCCAATTTGCCAATCAAATGTCTCCAGAATTTTGGGAGCGAATACAAGCTGCTGAGTTGGAAGTTTGTGGAGGGTTCAGCTCAGAGAACATTGTTTAGCAAGGACACATATGCATAAACTCCCACATGCACAGGCTCCCAGCTAGAGTGCACAAGGCCAGTGGAAGAAAGACCCAGAAACATCTGACGGAAGAGTCAGAAAACTTCCATTTGAAACTGACATGGATTTCTTTTCATTACCACATGATAGTCTACATTGCACGGAACAGTCGTTTCCAATCTGCTGGGACCATAAAACAAAACGTGGTGAACTTTACGGTATCTCATAACAGATTAGATTTTAGAATAATTTCAAGAGTTTCAGTTGATAATTATTGTCAGGTTTCAGTTCTGAACTGTACCCCCCTCTTCAATTTTGATGTTATGGTTGCTCTGTAGAAACCTTTGGAAAAATGTTGATAACCATCTATTTGTCAGGGCGAGTGAAGAAATACATTTTTAATCAGCAACAAGTATAGTTGCTTTGTTGTGTTAAGCCAGTTTGCTACTTTTAGATAATTATACAAACTTTGTTTTCTGCGATTGGGAGCACAGAGAATTTTGAGCAATCGGCCTGAACTTACCCACAGTTGTGTCAAGGTAAACCATATGCTTTGGATGTATAATTTAGACCATTAGACTTGATTTTCTGCAAGTTTTACTTGAGCTACTTCAGGGGGTAGAGGAAATGTGGCAGGACCTTTCCTCGGAAGAATAAATGAGTTAGGTTGAGAGGAATCAAATGTACATTGACTGTGGAAGCAATAACTTGATGGGCTGAATATTCTTTTCTGTGCTTTGCCAAATAGCATCCTGATATGCCTGTTCCATAGTTAGGTTGCAGAGAGTAGAGGAGAACTGTCAACGCAAGAGCATGAAAGAGCTTCTATTCAAGGCGTGAGGTAGTCCTAAGGAGTTGAGGGAAAAGGCAATGTTTGACGAGCTGCTCTTTTCCTGTTATAAATGCTGGGTATCAGTCACTGCATTCTACAGTGTTTCCTGTGAAGTGCTTTGAGAGGTTTTGACTGTAATAAGAAACTATAGCAAATGCAAGAATTATTATATTATAAAAAAGAAACATATTCCTTAAAATTATCAGCTTTAATATTACACCCAATTCTAAGTGGCTGTTTCAGTATAATCTAATAAATGTAATACAGTTCATGGGTGGGTGGAGGGAAAGGAGAGAAGTTAGGAGAGGTCCCAGGAATATCTGAAGTTCATATTATAATTCTCCCCCTCCACTATGTTCTGCAGTATTATCTCTATTCATCCGTTTTATTGCAGTAACCCCATTTGTTTTGCATCATTAACACCCCTTTAATCCATCATCCCCTATCCTCTACCCATTTTCTCCTTTGTCTTCCTTGCCCTACTACCCACCCTCTGTTAGCCCTTAAAAGCCTCTCCCTCCCAACATGCCCCAGTTCTGACAAAGCGTCGTGGACCCAAAACGTTGACTCACTTTTCTTTTTCCATAGATGCTGCCTGATCTGTTCTCAGCGACTTCTCACCTGACGGGTACCCTCCGGCATCCGCAGACATGGGGTACATTTCCACATGTATGCGGACGACACCCAACTCTATTTTTCCACCTCTCTTTGAGACCCCCAGTCCCCTGATGTTCTGTCAGCCTGCCTGTCAGATCTCAGGGGCTGGATGAGCACAAATTTCCTTCAGCTGAACGTTAACAAGACAGAAACCATACTCTTTGGCTCTCGTCAATGTCTAAAATCTCACGGTTCTCACCTCCTCCACCTACCCGACCTCCCATTAAAACTCTCTGAACCCGTATGCAACCTAGGCGTCAGGTTCGACCCCCAATTATCCTGGCTCCCTCTCCCAGAGAGGATCGATTTCAAGATCCTCACCCCGTCTTCAAATCCCTCCACTCCTCCCTCTACCTCTCTGACCTTCTCTTTTCTCAAAACAGTGCCCGTTGCCTTTGTTTCTCCAGGTCTGGCCTCCTCCAGGTCTGGCTCCTCCTTGTCCCCGGGGCCTTTGCTCCACCCTCGGCGGGTGTGCCTTCAGCCACTACTCTCTGAGGCTCTGGAACTCCCTTCCTCACTCCCTTCGCCTCGCTTCTTCTCTTCCTACTTTCAGGTCTCTGCTGAAGACCTTTCTTTTCGGCTGCGCCTTTGGTCACCTTCCTCCCCCTCCCCTTGGCTCGACCCCGGGATCCATTACTGTGAAGCACTCTGAGCCGCCGTCCGGCATGGAGGTGCTATATAAATCCAAGTTGTTGTTGAGTGTGCATTAAAAGGCACAAAAACAAAGCATTCTCAGAACTGACATCTTTCACATCGATGAGCAAAAAAAAGTATTGGTAGTTTACACTGAACCAAAGTATCAGCCGAGCTGAGTTGGTATTACTTGCGTGAATCAGAGATGACTCATTTGCTAACAAGACCTTCTTATGCCAGCAAATAGATTGGCATCAGCCTGGCTCAGCTGGTAACACACTAGCGTGTGAATCACAAGTTAGTGAGTTGAAACCCAATGTCTCGACTTTGAACTCACAAGCTGACATTCCAATACAGTGTTGGGGATGCACTGCATTGTCAGAGGTGTATGGCACTATCCAAAAAGAGAAGCAAGTTTCTCTCATTGCCCTTTTTCACAATCTTCTGGATAAAACTAATCATTCACATTATTGTCATTTGCCCTACCTCTCTGACTTCCTCACTCCCCAATCCACCACCCGGTGCCTCCGCTCAACTGGCACGGCTTGTCCCTTGGATCCTCCGCTCCATCATTGGAGGTCGAGCTTTCAGCCATTACGCCCCGAAACTTTGCAACGCTCTCCCTCAATCCCTCCGCCTTGCCCCCTCTCTCCTTCCTTTTCGACCTTGTTTACGGTCACCTCCCACACCCCTGGCTCTGAGTCAGGCTCTGCCATTGTTAAGTGCTCAGACGCTGCCCTGCGTGGAGGGCACTATATAAGTGCAAGTTGTTGTTGTTTGTAGGATAGCAGGAATTGGCTCCTGCCTTTGACTACAAAATCCACTACACACTACAGTAAATCCTGTGAAGCGCTTTGGAACCTCCTCCCACTTTGGAAGGTTCAAAGTGGAAGCTTCCACTGGAAGCTGTATCAAATGTAAGATGATGAAGACTGTGGATTCAAGCGCAATAATTGGGATTTGGGGATTTTGAGCTCATAATTAAGGCTGACGCTGCAATGCAATTTAGGCTGACGCTGCATGGTTGAAAGTGCAGACTTTTGGATGAGATGTTAAACCTAGTCTGTTTGTTCAGGTGCAAGTTAAAGATCGCACAATAGTATACAGAAAGAGAAGGGAAACCTGGAAAATAATCATCATGGATACTGGTCATTCACTTCATGGATACTGGTCATTCACTTCATGGCTGTTTATGGAACAGTACTGTGGCGAGGTTGGCTGCTTTGATGGCCTAAAAATACAATTACTACACTGCATTTTACAGAATAACTCTGAAACACTTTTAAACTTTTCAACATTATAGGCCCTATATCAAATGTAAGAATTATTATTTATATCTGAAGTCCTAAACCATTTTGACAGCTCCTGTTAAATGATAATAGTTTCTTAAATGCAAAAATAATTTGGTAACTCAGTCCACATGTTTGTGGGACACTGCTGTGCGCAATTGGCTGCCGCGTTTCACCCACAACATATAGTCATTTCACTTTACGTTATATTTCTGTGAAGTGCTTTGCGACGTCTCGTAGATGTGATAAGGCGCTATATCAAATGCAAGGATTATTATATCATTATTACAATGATGGTGACATATTGCTTTGGAGTTCATGATCAAGTCTGTGTGAAACAGTGCAGGAATCGCAAGTCAGTTGCCCATCTGTGTGCCCCTTTCTGCTAAGAGATGAGTTAAAGACTTTAGCTCTGGGAACATGTTTTGCACAGGGCAGGTTCCGATTAGAATTAGGCTGAACGGTGCTTAGTAAAAAGTAAACAACAGGTCTGCCATGGAAGCCTCAAGGAGATCTTTACTTTGAAGCTCGACGTTAAGTGCCATTTTTTCATACCCAACACAAATTATCACATGTGAAATATTTGATTCAAAGCGCCCTGGAGGTTTAAAGTTGCAGTAAAAACCCAGCTCTGAATTTCACAGTTCGCAGCAAAAAGAATCCCGACTTTGAAAAACGTTAGTCCTGTTCTTAAATGTCATTGATGTTAACGTTTGATGCATTTCTTTTTGAGTTCACAGTGGGCTCCTCTCCTGCTGTCTGATTAGTGTCTGTCCCCGGCCTGGCCGGGCCGGGCCTGGAGGGATCACTAGTCGCTTCATACTCTCTCACGGTGACTTGATTCACTTTAAATTCGCTTCTGATAGCACAGGGGTAGACCCTGAGCAATGGACAGTCACACTATGAATACCGCTCCACGGTTTGTAGCTTCAAACGACATCATAAAGAAGCAAGTTAGTGGTACACATCCTCTCTCTCTCTCCCCCCCTCCCTCCCTCCCCCTCGTGTTAGACGGGGTGGGGAAAAGGAAAGACGGAGGAGGGAAGGGAGCAAACAGTCGCTGCGAACGTTTACCTATAACTGTAACTGGAAAACTTTCCGCTTTCTTTCAGCATCGCCCGGTACAGCGCCAGCACCTGCGGCCTGGTGGATGCGGCCATCTTTAATCTGCTGTGAGTGAGAGTGAGTGAGTGAGTCAGTGTGTGTGTGTGAGTGAGTGAGTGAGTGAGTGAGTGCAGGACCCGGCCCGGCCTGGCCCGGCCTGGGCCTCGGGGCGGGCCCGGCGCCGCCTGCTCTGGGACGCAGCTCGTGACGGCGAGCAGTTCAAACGGAAGGCGCGAGCGCCGCGAGGAGGCGCGAGGGCACGGATCCTGCCAACCGCCACCTTCGGCGCCCTCACGCGCTCAGCACGGCCGTCACCCCCCCACACACACACCCCCTCCTCCCCCGAATGGACGCAGGCGGCAGAGCGGCGCCCTCTAACTTACTGCCTCTGCCGCCGCCGCCGCCGCCTGTGACCTGGGACACAGGGTTTTGAGGCGTGAGGTGAGGTGAGTGAGTGGGTTGAGTGCCGCGGGGCCGGAGCCGGAGTCAGGGCGAGCGGTTACCAAAACAGCTCTCGAAACCAGGGACACCTTGTCAGGGCCTTCACCGCCGCCACTCCAGGCCTCGTCCTTCGCTCCCGGGGGAGAGAGAGAGAGAGAGAGAGCGCTGTGCGGCCGTCTCGCAAGGACGCAAGTCCCGCGGAGCGTCTTTCAGGCCCTTTCCACCTCCCCCCCCCCGGTGTGATCGTTTGCGAACAACATTTTGTACGTGTGTGACCCAGCGGGTGTTTTTTTTTGTTTTGGTCGATGCAGAATTTGCGTATTAAATGTATTACATGTTTAGTCCTGTCCCAGGGGAACAGGAGGGAGAGGGAGAGAGGATATCAATCTGTGATCTTGGCAAAACCCAACCAATAATAATAATAATAGTAATCCTTGCATTTGATATAGCGCTTTTCACGTCGGGAGGACGTCCCAAAGCGCTTCACAGAACACACTGTAAAGTGAATTGACTGTATATTTGTGGGCGAACGCGGCAGCCAATTGCGCACAGCAATGTCCCACAAACAGTCGTAGATTGAAAATGACCCATTTATTATTGTTTTTGGTTTTGGAGGGATTATTATTAGGGCTCTGTGTGGAGTAAGGAAACTTGCCCAAGGTTTCGCCCTCTGCCTGGAATTGAACTCAGGTCTCTCACTTGCAAAGCGAGTGCTCTAACCACTGAGCTACAGGACTCCGAGTGGTACCAAGTGGCACCACCTGCAAACTGACGACTAACACTGTAACTCCTTTCACTCCCGCAACACCAAGGGTTGTGATGATGAAGAGGAAGGAAATGTGCTGCTGAGCTGGAATGTAGACGTGCTGTTTACCTTTGAATGGTCCGCCTGTAAAGAGATCTGTGCTGTCCTGTGTACCCACATAACTTCCAGCAAAGTGTGAGGCCAGTTTTAGAAGTTCAAGTGAAGAACTGTTGCACCTACTCCACAGCTCGTTCAGTTCGAGAATTGGCGGAGTGAGAGGGAGCCACACCTGGGCCAACCTTATGGGTAAACTTTAAAGGTCATTAGGACTCAAGAAACGAGATTGCAGTGTTTTCCCTGTTTTCTAGATAAATACTAGAAAGAGGTACTTATACTATAGTAACAGTGAAGTTGATGAACCATACTGGATGCACACAAATGGTTAGGTAGATGGATTAGTGTATGGGTGTGATATTTCTGAGGCATATTTCTAGTGTGGTTTCCTTGTGTGTGTGTGTGTGTATGTATGCATGGTTGAAGGGTATATTATATTTGACAAATATTGTGAGTCCTGTAGCTCAGTGATTAGAGCACTCGCCTTGCAAGTGAGAGACCGGGTTCGATTCCCGGCAGGGGAAACCTTGGACAAGTTTCCGTTCTTCGTATGCCTGATAATAATCCCTCAAGAAAAAAAAACAATAGTTTGGTCACTCAATCGATGACTGTTGTGGGACACTGCTGTGCGCAATTGGCTGCCGTGGTTCGCCCACAAATATACAGTTAATTCCCTTTACGGTATATGCTGTGAAGCGTTTTGAGACGTCTTGAAGACGTGAAAAGCGCTATATCAAATGCAAGGATTATTATTAAATATGCTGTGCATTCTCTTGAAAACTAATCAAGTATAAATTATGACAACCTTCCAAAATTGAGAACTGAATAATGATCAATAATGCCACAATTGAAGCTGAATGCAAAATACACAAGTGATAAAGTCCTGGTTCAAATATGTTTAGTCTTCAGAATGGAGCTATCATGTTCTTAGCAATGATATTCTATTTATAATAACCCCTCCAAAAGCCAAAAACAATAATAAATTGGTCATTTTCAATCTACGACTGTTTGTGGGACATTGCTGTGCGCAATTGGCTGCCGTGTTCGCCCACAAATATACAGTCAATTCACTTTACAGTGTGTTCTGTGAAGCGCTTTGGGACGTCCTCCCGACGTGAAAAGCGCTATATCAAATGCAAGAATTATTATTATTATATTGCTTACAGTATGTTTTCAAGTGGAAACAAATTAATTTATATGAGAAGCAGAAATATTGAAGAAAATGAGCTAAAGCTTGTTTGTTATGTTACTCCACTAATGCACTAGATCTGATTAATTTGGCTCAGTTGGTAGCACTCATGCCTCTGGTTCAGAAGATCATCGGTTCAAGACCCAAAGGCAGGACCAGCTTATCATACTTGTCAGGGATGCCTTCCTCCAGATGACATATGACACTGAGGTCCTATCTGTTTGTTAAAGACCTCATTCAAAAAGACAAGAATCCTCCAGATAAATTGGTCATTCACTTCATGGCTTTTTGTGGGCCCTTGTTGGATGCAAAGTTGATGGCATATTTGCCTTCATGGTCACTACACTTTTACATTTTTTTTAGCACCTTTCACATCAGGAGGATGTCTCAAAGTGCTTTTACAGGATATATTGCAAAGTGGATTGACTGTGTATTTGGAGACAAACATGACAACCAATTTGCGCACAACAGTGCCTCACAAACAGCCATGAAGCGAATGACCAATCTTATTTGGAGGATTGTTAGCCAGGACACTGGGAGAATAACAACAACAACTGGGAGCAGACCAAGGTACCATTTCCTCTACTCCAACGATTAGTCTTACCTTTCAAAAGAGCATCCCTCTATGTTTTTGATTTGATTTTACAGTCTTTTTTGTATCTGCTTTTATTAGAGATTACCAATTATTGCTGAATTGGGCGTAACTTTGTGCTTTAGTGCATGCCCATTAGGGAGTGGGTTAAGACTGCCCAAACTTATTTAATGTAGTTCTAACGAAGGGTCTTGGACCCGAAACGTTGACTCACTTTCCTTTCTCCGTAGATGCTGCCTGACCTGCTGAGTGTTCACAGCGACTTCTGTTCTTATTTAATGTCAGATCCTTCCAGTCACCAGAGAGATTTTCATCTCATCAGTCTGGACTGCATTTAGACCCTCTTCCTGAATTGAGCAAATAGTTTGCTAACTTACCAATCATCTATTATCCTATAACATTTATAGAATTTTATTTGACAGATTGTTGCTGGTAGAAAGTTAGATTTAGTAGTTCTGCCAAATTGAAGTATGCAGCTTTTTAATTGATTGCCACTTCGGAATCTTCATTGTTAAATTGAATGTAAAGTTGTACAATGAATTCCCCCTAAACAATTATGGATAAAGAAGAGTAACTTGCACAACAGACCAAAGTATCGTATTTTAAAAGGAAAAAGAAACTTCAAATAGCTGACCAGCTCCAGTTTCTTGTCCTGCATATTCACCATATAAGATCAGACTTGTACTCTTTGGGATGCCTTCCCGAAAATGAAAGGCACTATACAAATGTAGTTTTGTTGTTATTGTTCATTGAGGTGCACAAAGTTATTAAAATGCCTCAAATGAAACTACTGATTCTTAGCAGTAATTTAGTCTGGTAGAAGTTAATGGAACTGTAAAATAAACAGCAAATTTTATGGTTGTAATGTTTTACCAATTTTATTATTTTAATTGTCATCAGTGTATTCTTTTCTCTTGTCTAGAGTTTGTCCAAATGACCTTTCTCACTTAAAGTAACCTGCACAACTTTGGAAATTTTGCCTGTGCAAAACTCCCCCTGCCTGACACTAAAATGCTGAACAGATTAAAATGATAGCTGCAGTAAAATTTGAGACTTGAAACCAAGAAGTGAATTCTATTGCCATTTTACAAAGTGATCATTGGGTTAGATTCATTCTTATGTTGAAATATCTTCTTGTACCTACAGTTCCTTGTTTTTCCCCCAAACCTCTCCCAATGCTTCACAGACTTCAGAAGAAGAGTTGATAGTGATACACTTCAAATAGTACAATCTGGATGCATGACCTGGCTAGAAAATTCGACTTGTACCAATTCCATACTCCGATTATTGTATGTAGAAATTCAAATCCTAAGCGGGAGAACAAGAAAACTAGTTTTGTTACTTTATGTGTTGATCTGCATTCAGCAGCATTTGTGTTTTTTATACAATGATTGCAACCAATGAAGCATATTTAATGACTTTTCATGGGTTTTCTCAAGCAAGGAATTGACTGATGCATTATATATTTATCACAATCATGTTTATTGTTTAGAAGCAACCTACTTATTTTTTCACCAGTGTTCCCACTCAGGAGTTGAAAGCTTGTTTGAAGTCTGGAATTATTTGGGGCAAGGAACATAGAGCATTTAAATATATTGTGAAAACCTATTCTTTTACACACCATCAATGCTCCCATTTCTGCCATTGTACTAATGTTGCTACCATGAAGCAATATTGTATCAGGCACATCAAAGTAGCTTCATCTTAGGAAATGGAATATGAACATTCTCAGGCCCTGGATCAAAAACACTTTTAAGCCATTTCAATTCCATTGACTAATTAGATGTAAATCTTTTAAGTACTGATTTTTCTTATACATGACTTACCACTTGCATGAGCAACATTATAATATAAGAATAATGTATGGAATTGGTATAGCACCTATAACATCAAAATGTTTGCAAGCACTTCACAGGTAATTATTGTCAAGTGTAGAACTAGTGTCTTCTAGTTTTATTTCCCCATTGTTTATTCTAGCACAGTAGTAGGTGAAGCAGCAGGTTGTGAGAATAACAGTTACCCACTTACCATGATAAATTGATAAAGCACTACAGTACTCATTGAATCTGATTTAAAAGCTTTGTAACCTTGACTACTAACCTCAATACAGTACTATGGGTCACTCCATTACTTCTCAATAGCTGAACGATAAAACTAGTAAGTGACTCCAACAAACTTTAGTGATAAATATTTTAAACACAAACCCTGGTAAATATTAAAAAATGAAA